GCGTAGGGTTTCCCTTTTATTGGACCAGCGGGGGGGGTGGGGGGGGGTGCTGTCTGCAAGGAAGGAGCGAGGTGAGCACACCCTCCCTGCTCAATATTGCAAGGTGACACTGGATCGCCTCTCACACAGAATTTTCAAAAGCACCGGTGGAGGGAAGACAGTAAACAAGAAAGATGCTATCTCCGATGAGAACTTTTTTTTCCGGCGAAGAGGGCTCTCAAGAGGGGCTTTGGATGGTCTTGCTTTTCAACCTGTTCTTTCGATTCCAATCGGCACCTTCCCACGGAATTAGAAGCGAGTATGTCCACAGGCTTTGACCGTGAAAAAGAAACTTATGATGGCTAATGGCGTGGCTCCACTCGCTCTGTTTCATTCATTTTTATTACAGTTCTCATTGTCCCCTCCTCTCCCTACCCCCTCGTCCCCACCCCCACCCCGGCCTCTTGCTAAAACCGGAAAGGGGTTGGAGAATGGAGGCATGGTGCTGGGAGTGGCAGAGCCAGGAGGGCAGGGAAGTCGGAGAGCTGCAAGGAGAAAGGAAGGGCACGAGGGATGGGGAAGAGGCCGAGGGGGTGGCGGGCGGGAGAGGGTTAAGGGAGCCCGCGGCCGATCCTCCCTCCACCGCCTTTAGCCCGCGGCTGCCGGGAGGCCACGCGAGAAAACCCAAATCTAGAGCAGTACGAGGTAACCCAGGTAGGCGATCCGGACGGTGACATTTCTCCCGCCTTCCCCGGCGCGCAGACACATCTACTCTGTGCACACACGGAGGGTCTGTGTTATATAATCTGTACTAAAGGCGCACGGATGGCCGCGGTACACCGAGGGGGCACCCACAGACTCACGCTTCCCGCAGCCCAGGACCCCGGGAACCGAGGGCTCGTGTAGCCCAGCTCGCGGGTCCACGCTCCATTCACGCCCAGAAGCCGGGACTACCGACATGAAAGGGAACCGGCGAGCCGCGCAGGGCTCCCGGGAGCAGTATCACGCGGCAAGCATCACCTACCAGTTTTCTTGCATCCATTGGATGGCTTCGTTCTCGTTGAACTGCTTCTCAAATTCATATTCTTGTAAAGTCAACACTGACATGTTCATTGGGGCTGCTCTTCGGGGTCGCTACGTGTTCTCTATACAAAATAAAATAATCTGTAAAGCGCTGGGTTTCGTGGGCTCGCCTGTCTGCTCGCTCCCCCCACCCACCCCCCTGCGTCCTCCCCTCGCCGCGCGGTCAGAGGCGGGCGCTCGTTCCTCGCTCGCCCAGCCTGTCCCAGCTCTAGCCAGGGTGGAGCATTGCCCGTGCCTCGGCTCGCTCCGCCACGGTCCGGGGCTCTGCTCCCGTCGGCGTCCGCATCCACCGGCGGAGAAAAGGGATGCCTTGCGGTCTTAGTGCCCGCACGTTTGTCCATCGCCCCTTTTAGTAGTCTACGGGGAAATCTCCTCCCCCTCGTGCGACCGGAAAAAGTAACCCTTTGTGAGGCGGGAGGGAGCCAGCCAGACCTCGCTTGCCCCGGGGCCAGTTTGGTTGACCTGCAGGGATGGGGAGGAGGGGGGTGCGGGGGTGCGAGGGGGACGGGGAAGGAGGGGCTCTGAGAGGGAGGACGGTGGCTCCGGGTCACCACGGTGTGTCCCGGTGCCACCCTCGTGGGCCGCCTCGCCCAGCCTTTGAATGGAGTTTCAGCATGCGGGGCGCAGCCCAGAGGCGCGCGGACTGGCCAGCTAGGCGAGTCGGCGATTGAGAAACTGTACAGTCTGCCAGTTCTCTCGCAAGAGAGAGAGAGATCACACTCGAAGGGAACGCGCACCCCACCTCCCTGGGCTCGGCCCCCACCCCCACCCTTAGCCCACGCTCGGGCCGAGACTCCCGCCTGCCTACCCGCGGCTGGGCGGCGCGCTGAGTTCCTAATCTCCCCGGGGCCGGGATGCTGAAGGATGAGCAGGGTGGGGAGCCGAGACCTGAGAGTAGCCGGAAGAGGGAGAGGGGTTTGGAAGGTTTCTGTTCGGGAAGGGGGAGAGTTAATGAATGGAGACCACGGGGGCAGAGAAGTTAGCAGATAGTAGAACTGGACCAACTGGTCCAGGGCACACACTTTATTTGTATGCATGAGTCATTTCGCTTTATTTGTGGTAGGTGGTGGTAAACCAGAAAAATGTCGGAAGAGAAGATTAAATGTAATGTCACCCCTACTGAGCCCTTGGCCCTATAGCAACACCCACGTTTTAACCTGTTTCCAAACAAGCCTGTTTCTTCCAGAAGGGAAACGTAGACTCTAGTCTGTTTGTCCCTCCACCCGTTTCTGCCAAAAGAATGGTAAATTGTGAGACATGGAGGTGCCTCATAATTTAATCTGTGGGTTTATTTGTAAAGTTAAAATTAAGAAGAACGAATGAATGCTTCGGAAACGGAGTGTTCCCTAGGACCGTGAAACAAATTTTCTTGTTATCTCCGCACCTCTTGGATAGCTCCAAGAGGGGGTGTTTTCATGGAACGTCTTATTGCATCAAAACCAGAAAAGAGGGAACTAGAACAGCTGTGTTCAACCTGGGGGTCGAAGGACCCTTTCACAGGGGTCGCCGGATTCATCACAGTAGCTAAATGACAGTGATGAAGTAGCAACGAAAATCATTTTGTGGTTGGGGGGTCACCACCACATGAGGGACTGTATGAAAGGGTCGCGGCATTAGGAAGGTTGAGAACCACTGCTCTAGAAGAAAATATATATCAGAAGGCAAAAAAAAAAAAAGAAAAAAAGTTGTAAGAGGGGGAAAAAAAACGATAACAAAGCATAATATTCTACAGTAGTGCAAAATTCTATAATCTATAAACCAAAGCGCTGAACTGGTTGATGATCAGCAACTTAATTGATCAATTGACAATCCCATGTATGGACTTTACTCATTGCTCTGTATAAGAGGCTGTCGTCCATTCTAGAGAAGACTGTACTACAAGTCGGAGGAAATTGAAAGATAAGGTACATAAGCAGTATTGGCCTGGAAGGTGGGGGGTGGTCCCAGGAGAGAGAAAAGAGCACAGCCTGGGTCTCTGGGCAATCCATCCATATTTGAACAGTGAATTGAATGATTAAATCCATGAAAGAAAGGAAGAGAAGTGACAAAGGAATCAAGAACCAGAAACCAAGCCGAAGGTTTAGTGCATGCTGGAAGAATGAGGCCTGTTTTTGTCTACAATGGCTTCTTACTAGTCTTTTTATCCATTTCAAACTAGAAAGGCTTGTTTAGTTTCTGTGTTTCTTGTTAAAAATAATACCTGTCATTGCCGGTTTGTTTTCCGAGGATGGATTTGGGATTATGTTAAAAGCGAACATCTGATTTTCACAGGAGCAGAGTCACTTAAAAAAAGCAACCAGAAAACTCAATGCGGAGTCAATGCTACTCTCAGTGAGTCTCTGCAGGGGCAGGATGAAGTTGCACCTGTGAGTTTCCGAAACTGTAACTGTTTGCGGGAGTAGAAAGCCTGTCTTTTTCCGGAAAGATCTGCTAGTTGTTACAAAGTGCTGCTGACCTTGCAGATCGCATAACCACTACTCCACAAGAGCAGTCTCACCTTTGTCCCCGTCACGGGTGGCTATGAGTCTCCAATCTCAAGGATACTCTTGTTCTTAGGAGCTTCCAGAAAATGAGATAAGTCTGTCTCTTAATCTCAAAACAAAACAAGACAGAAAGATAAATGCTCGATAGTACTGAATGCCAAGTAAGTAGTATGGTCAAAGAAGGTACTATGAAATCAGAAAAGCAGAAAAGCAATTTGGCAGAACAACTTGGTGTTAGCTGCTGTCATGTTGGTTCAGGCTTTTTTTGGTTAGTTTTATTTTCTTTTTGTTAATCATTTCATTGGGGGACTCTTAAAAATCTTATAACAATCCATCATTCAATTATATTAAGCGCACTGGTACATTTGTTGCCATCAACATTTCAAAACATTTTCTTTCTACTCGAGCCTTTGGGATCAGCTCCATTTCCCCCCTGCCCTCTCCCACCCTCACACCCTTGTGAATCCTTGCTATATTATTGTTGTTATTTCGTGTCTTACACTGGCCGTTGTCTCCCTTCACCCACATTTCTGTTACTTGTCCCCCTGGTGGGTGAACTATATATCCCACCTTGTGATGGGTTCCCCCTTTCTCCCCGTCCCACCCACCCACCACCCACTGTCCTCATACTATCGCTATTCCCCCTACTCTTGCTGAGGAGTTTATCTGTCCTTAATTCCATGTGTCGAAAGCTCTTGTCAGTACCAATGTGTGTACGCCAGTCTAGCCAGATTTGTCAGGTAAAACTGGGTCATGTTAGTGGGGTATGTGTGTGAGGTGGAGGAAGAGCATTCAGGAACCAGAGGAATAATGTGTCTTTTGTTGGTGCTATACTGCACTCTGAATTGTCCCTTCTTTGTCACCCTTCTGTGTGGGGATGACCAATTGTCTAGAGATGGGCTTTGGGCCTCCACTCCAAACCCCTCCTGTGGCAGTCACCTAATCTGGTGTCAATTTAAGGATTAAGAGTGTAGGGGTGGAGTCTAGGCTGTCAATCTGGAGATAGCCAATGAGACTTCTGTATGGGCATGGCCTTCTGAGAATTCTGGGAAACTGGGACTTCCTCTTTGGAGGCAGAAGACACCTCTCTCTCTTTGCTACTTCCTGGGAGATATTGCAGAAGAAAAGCCACATGCACCCTTTCACGGGGGGTCTCCTGATTCATAACAGTAGCAAAATTAGTTATGAAGTAGCAATGAAAATAATTGTATGGTTGGGGGTCACCACAACATGAGGAACTGTATAAAAGGGTCTTGCCATTAGGAAGCTTGAGAACCACTGCAGTACAGGATGTGAAGTGAGCCACCACCCTTCGTTTCCTTGGGAGTACCGCCTACTGAAGGACAAAGCTACACCTCCATCCAAGCCATTCCTCTGTGTATAAGAACCATCTCTGCTCCAACAGAGAGAAAGCCCAGGATCTTCATAAGTGGAGCGTGTTCGAGATCTCTGTCCCAAGTGGCTGAGGCCAAGACCAGGGGCACCAGCACCCACAACATGGAGATCATGAGACACAGCACAGGAACCAGGCAGAGACCCAAAGTCTGGCTTCCTGGCCCACAGAGGCAAAAGTCAAGAGAACGAAAGGTGGAGAGGCTGAGGACTAGGGACTGGACTGCTGGCTGGGAAGTGTCGCTTTAGAGTAGACCAATGGTTCTATCCTTAATGTCTTCTAATCCTGGCTGTGGGAACCGATTAACTTCCCTAAAAAACCCACTTAGTTGCAAGTATTTTCTGTGAGTTCTGTGTGGCCACTGACTGAAATGATTGAACTGACTGAAATTATGAGAGCAAAGAGCCATAAAAGAATGATTGGTGTCAGAATAGGTAAAGAAAGATGGAGGACGGAAGCATGTCAGACCTCTACCTCAGGGCAATAGAGAAATCAGAGAAGATCAGATATGGCTCCCTCTGCAGGCCCCTTCTGCACCACATTCAATAGCCCTGGTGGTACAATGGGTTTTGAATAGGTTACAAGGTCAGCAGTTCAAAACCACCAACCACACTATGGGAGAAAGATGAAGATTTCTACTCCTATAAAGATTTAGTCTCAAAAACCACGGGGCAGTTCCACTCTGTCCTATAAAGTCACTGTGAGTAGGAGTTGATAGCAGTGAGTGAGTTTGAGTTTGGGTTTGCACCCTTTTCCACAATATGCAAAGTATGTAAGCTTAAGCTGCCATCACCCTTATAAGGAAGATTCTGGCAGTACTTCTTCCAAGAGAAGTCTGTTTGTACTTCTGGCTATCTATAGTATTTTCACTATTCTTCATCAGCAGCACTATAGTTCCAAGACATCAATCCTTCATTCTCCCTTATTCATAGTTCAGCTTTCAAATGCATAGGAGACAAGTGAAAACACAATGGCTTGGTTCTTTATAGTGGCATCTCTAATTGGAGCACCTTAAAGAGGGCTTTTGCAGCAGACTTTCCCCATTGCAATCTATCTTTTGCTTCTATCAGTGTTGATTGCTGTTGGTCCAAGTAAAATTTAATCCTTAACAAACTCAGTCTTTTCTTTGTTTATCATGATGTTGCTTATTGGTCTGGTTGTAAGGACTTTTGTTTTCCTTATGGTGAGGTTTAATCATACTGAAGTT